TCTTTAGTCTTCAGTTTAGATTTCAGTTGCAATGATTTTCATATATCTTTATACGAGGAATTGAAAAGGTCTGGACTCCTTTTTCAATAGACCAAACCCTGCCAAAAATAGGCAGGGTTTTAGCCTAAAGTAAAATTTTCAACTGAAATTGTATAACTTAAAGCAAGTAATTCCTGGGTTAACGGCATTTTACAACTTCCAACATAGTATCTGTTTTCAAATCAAATTCATAATCGACTAGTTCTATATGCTTACTTGAAGTTCCTGATTCAGATGTTGTTTGAGAATGTTTGCATGTGTGGATAAACTGGTTGCTTATTCTACTGACGCCATTTAATTATCATTTGCTGTTTCAGAAGCTGTGCATACTATCCATAGAAATCCAGCAGAAAAGAACAGCATTTTTTAATAGTATGCCAATCAAGGGAACAAAGCAATAGTATTTTGTAGAAGCAGGCATATTGCTGCATTTTGTGAGAGCAGTAGTACCCCTACGAAATTAGTCTTAATTATTAGATATAGTTTTTTGTTATATAGATGGACGAATTTCATATGAATGGCGTGAATAATAAAGATTCCTTCTACATTTTTCTTTGTATTACACACAGAAAGTAGTGAGTTCTCACTACTCACAGAATCACAGAATGAATCACAGAATGATATGGGGTTGAAAGGGACTCTGAAGATCATCTAGTCCAATCCCACTGCCAAAGCAGGTACACCTACAACCAGCTTGTTCCAGTGCTCTGCCACCTTCAAAGTAACGAAGTTCCTCCTCACGTTTAGATGGAACTTCCTATGTTCAAGTTTGTTATGTCTTGTCCTGTCACAGGGCATCAGTGAAAAAAGGCTGGCCTCATCCTCCTGACACCGTCCCTTTAAGTATTCATAGGCATCAATTAGATCTCCCCTCAGTCTTTTTTTCTCTAGACTAAAAAGACTAAAGTCCCTCAGCCTCTCCTTGTAAGGGAGACTGAAGATCATCTAGTCCAATCCCACTGCCAAAGCAGGTACACCTACAACCAGCTTGTTCCAGTGCTCTGCCACCTTCAAAGTAACGAAGTTCCTCCTCATGTTTAGATGGAACTTCCTATGTTCAAGTTTGTTATGTCTTGTCCTGTCACAGGGCATCAGTGAAAAAAGGCTGGCCTCATCCTCCTGACACCGTCCCTTTAAGTATTCATAGGCATCAATTAGATCTCCCCTCAGTCTTTTTTTCTCTAGACTAAAAAGACTAAAGTCCCTCAGCCTCTCCTTGTAAGGGAGATGGCTCCAGGCCCCAAATCATCTTTGTAGCCCTCTGTTGTACCCTCTCCAGCAGTTCCCTGTCCTTTTTGAGCTGGGGAGCCCAGAACTGGACATACTACTCCAGATGGGGCCTCACCAGGGCAGAGTAGATGGGGAGAATGACCTCCCTTGACCTGCTGGCCACGCTCTCTTGATGCACCCCAGGATGCCATTGGCTTTCTTGGCCACAAGGGCACATTGCTGCCTCATGGTCATCCTCTTGCTCACCAGAACATTCCTCACTAATTTCCATTAATTACTGAGGAGAAAATCAGTGTTAGTACCACCAATTTTCTCGGCAACTCACGAAAATGGAAGGACAGGTTTAAAGGTTATGCTTCTGCAGAAAAATGCACAAATCATTACTTGTAAGAGTCTCCAAACTTAGTTTGAAAATTTATACTTAACTACATTTTTTAGAGAAATTCTCACTGTTCTCTTTCAGATTCCTCTTGTTATTATTAGAAAAAAAAAAATCCAAACAAAAGAACCAACCCTAGAGAGTGTATATGTATGTGCAACTATGCTTTGTCTGGAGCACAAGTTCCACTGATTAAAAAGACAACCATTACAGAGGTGTATCCAGAGGACAGAGTTCAAACATTATGTTTTCCTTTCAGAGACATAAATTTCATACCTAATTCACTAAGCTATACAACTTGTACTCCAGATACATCAGTGAGCAATTTTTTAAAAAAAGAATTTCTGTTGCCTTGCTCTGTTTAATGATTGAGTAAAAAACTCTCTTGTTTTGATTCATAAGCCACAGGGTTAGTAACAGCAGTTATGGACTAAGTGACAGAGTAGTTTAATTATACAAGGTTATTCTCTTTCTTCACTTGATAGCTATTTTTCTTATGTATGACCATTCATCTAGCATAGATGAAACACCCCTCTAATTACTTGGTTTCGATCTAACCTTACATTTTTGTTCAACAGCAGATAGTGATAGCTCAACTGTCATTTTGTGATTTACATTAGCTCCCTGCTGTTGTATCACAGAACTGATTCATGCATCTGTAGCAAAGAGAGGAGGAGGTTAGCAGCTGCTATATATTTATCAAAAATTTTTACATTCTAATATTTCTAATAATTTACCCTCCTTTGATAATTATTGTTCTTTTTTTTTTTTTAATGGGCTATACAAATATGTTCTGGTTTGAACTATTTGCCAAACTGTTTTTAGATAGAGTGATTAGTAATTACCACCTTGCCAAATTTGTTTTTTCTTCCACAAACCATGTTGCCATGGTTCTTTTACAGAATGTTACTTTTTATGCTACCAGTTGTTATGAAAGCAAATTCTAAAAATTGGTCTTAGTATGATACAAGTATCAGCCATGTATAAAAATATTCAGATTACAGTTTACTTTAGGATTTATGAAAGTTAATGTACCACAGTTATGAAAACTGTGTGTCACTGCCTTCAACTGCCAAGTTACATAGTTACAAAATATTCTTAACTATATGCTTTTTTTCTTTTAATTAAATAAATAATGAAAAAATATGAACAATTTAAATTCTGCATTGGATTGACTTTAACACTAGTTGCATTTGTAACAAGCTCTCTACATTATATTATATACATAATATTATAAAATGGCCAATATGTTGCATAATATATGTAATAATTGTAAAATGTGCTTACTGCATTATATTATATTTGCCTATCGACAAAATGCAGCTCCCACAAAATGCAAACTCCTGTTAGAAGAAACATGACACAGTCCTTTTGGACAGGAAGTTTTACACAGATTTGGGTGCTATGATCTATCTATATTAGGATGTCATCAGACACAAAAGGAATAGACAAGTAGAGCAAAACAGTTGATGATGAGGACCCAGCATCCACACAGTATGAGTGCCTATGAATGTTTTGTTTGTGAGCAGTTCGCTTACATTCCCATGAACTTAAACACCCGTTGGTGGTTGAAGAAATTAGATGAGCATCTGGAAAGTATTCTCCAGTTAAGTTACACCCAGAAGAGATGCATTTCATACACTCCAGGACTTCTGTGTGGTATAAATGAAAGTGCAGTAAGTGAGGATGATGAGAAATGACATCTGAAAAACGTGCTGTTGCTGTGACTGTGAACTGAAAACCTAACACCGATGCATGTTTCCTTGTGGGTTCTCTTCAAGTAATTAAACAAAAGAAGTAGAGGTGCCAGGGAAGAGGAATGATGCTGAGAAATTAATATATCTTTTGTACAATCTCTTATTGTTGTGGCTCTCTGTAAAACAGTTACAGATTTAAAACTGACATCTCCCACAAGTGGCTTCTACCTCTACCAAAGCATGGTTCCCAAGTGCTAAAGATCTGCCATGATTTCTGAAGGGAACTGTTCCTTGAGCAAATATATCCTACCAGAAGAAAAACATTGTTGAGTTGGCTACTTCTGAGCTATAGCTTATAAACCCCTTGGAAGGCAAAATGATTTTTGGAGCTCAGTGAGAAGCAGTAGGACTATTAGGAATCCCACACTGCTATCCATCTTTCCTTCTCAGTCTACCATATAAAGAAAAGAGTAGGATTTTGGGAAAGGAAAAGCATGTCCAAAGGATGGCTCCTCCTCACTTTGTACAGTAGGCTATAGTGTGCTGAGGTCAATCTATTTCCAAACTGATCTGTTCTGGATATGCTTTCTGACCTGCATTTCCAGATCTAGTCCTACAGAAGTTCATACTCAGGGTATTAAACTTCACAGAAAGAAGAGCAAACCAGAAGTAATACATGAACAATGCTATTTTAAATATTTTGAGAAATATTTACTTGTTTGGATATTTTTCCCCAACATGAACGCATGCCGACATGTAAAATCAATTAAGGAGACTTTTCTCCCTTCCCAGCATCTCTTACTGGAAGAGGTAGTCCCCTAGTACTTGTATCACATATATTTATTTGCAAAAGTGTTCCTGAAGCAAAATAACATATTCATAGAACCTGTTACTAGCATCCATTATTAAAGTCAGTATTTCTTAGCTACTTACAACTCATGCAGAAAGTAGGACATCTAGATGATAAAGCAAATATTCAGTTACAGAAGAGAAGAAAAATATTAGCTCTGAAAGTAAAAACCTTACAAATTATAGTTCAAAGATAAATACAATTAAAAATCTTGGGAGAATAAAACCAGTATCAATTGAGCAAATGTGCTAAACAGTTATTTTATCTTTACCTACTTAAGTGATTCAACACACACAACTTATTCAAAATGATGCAATCATTCTTCTAAAATGACAAACATTTAATTAATTTTTGACAGTGAAAGTATGTATTTATCCAGTAATACAGATATGATTAAATACATTCCAATGATTAATGAAATCTAAATGACAATAATAATTTCACATGCATAAGGAAGGACGGTACCAAAAGAGACTTATTCTGTTGTGGACTGTATAGAAAGTGCTTGAAGCTTTCATAGAATTCAACCTTATCTGAAATCCAAAATTAGAAGCAGATGTCAGCAGCATAAAAATGTAATTATTTAAATAGGATAAAGAAGACACTTTTTTTCAAGCGTTCATTTTAGTTCATATCACTGAGCTTAAATGAGGTCTTAGTAAGTATTGAATTTTATTATTCAAAGAGTGATTGTGTGTGGTCACTTAATAAAATTGATTAATCCTCTGTGATAGCAGCCAGACCAACAATAAAACTTTTTACCCTAATGCAGTAGAACAAAATTAAACATTTAGAGTAATCTTACCAGAGCTCTGCATTTCACATCTATCTTTCTTTCTGGTGCTGCAGGTATGCTGTTAATCTTTAAGGAGAACCACACTTTGCAATTTGAAGAACTTTCTCCTGTGTTAAAAAGAAAAAAAATGAGCTATAATTCATCTCATGAGGCGATCAATCCTTGCAATGTTCAAATCAATAGAAATTTTGACTTTTAGTAAAAATGGCGGTCGTTCATATTGAGACAAAGCAAATTATGAACTGATTTAATTGCTGTCAACCAACTTCATTATCAAATCCCTTCTTATCTGGATTCAAAACAGTAAAAAAAACAATTTATACACAAATGGAATGGAAATAACACTTTGGAAAATTTGTTTCCCAGACTATCAACTTGTTTCAGAATTATAAACATCATTGATTCATAACTGTTTTTCTTCAACAAAGACAAAGCTAAAAAGTATTCTGACTCTTTTTTTTTTTTTATTAAAAGCTTATCCACCATAGATTTAAAACTCCATGATATCTATTAAACAGATCATAATTTTCAGTTACATAGAATCCATCCTCAAGTATATGTTTGAACATACATTAATTTATACTGCAATTAATTTTTCATCAGGTTTTCAGACAGGATGATCTGGATTATTGTCATAACAAACAAGTTGGCATTAAAGAGACCGAGAATGCTCAAAAATGATAAATATATAAATCAAAACATTCGTGCATCAGTATTATCCTATTACATCAGATTCATTATCAGTCTTATCCCATACTCTGTTATCCATGACTAACGAAAGTTTGGCCAGAAAAAACATGCAATAAACTCTTGCGAACCCACATTTGATTATGTGATAAATTAGCAAAAAATTCAGATTTGATTGCTTTCAGTATTTTATATTATCTAGTCCAAAAAGGAGAGAGATGGGAAATTCTAACAATATGTACAAAAGCTTAAATGCATCAGAGAATCCCTTATCATGCACATGCATATGCTTGTGAGATTAAAAGGATAAATTTTAAATTCTGCTGATGTTAATGATTATGAAACCCTTAAATAACTGGAATTTGCTTTACTGTTACAATTAAGGCCAGAAACCAGGAAGTGTTTACTACCGGTAACCATGGGAAGCATAGGCAAGCAGATCTTTGAACTGAAGGCAGTCCACATCATACTGACAGTATTTTTAGAATTTTATATTATATCGAGCAAAATCATGATTTGACCTTTGCTATACCACAGAACTTAAATTCTGTTCAATTACATAATATTGTTGTGCATCTTCAGTCAAGCAATCTATGTTTTGCTGAAGCATATCTTCCTTTTCAATTTGAAGATATCCACTAGCAGTTTGTTCTGGTGGTTAACTACTGACATTAGAAGACATTTAAATATGAATCTAATATCTGATTTCCATTAGATTTGCTTCAGTGTCTGGCCAAAAGATCTTATAATGACTTTCGCTGATTTAAGAGATTCAGCATCAAGGATCAAGCATTTTCTTGTATTTAGAAGACAGTTGTGAAAGTTAATAAAACTGACTCTTCAGTCTTATTCAGATAGGTGGAAACAGCTGAGCCCAAAGGCTCTCATCATAAGGCCTGTTCTGCACAACACAAATATTTCATGTGGCAATTTTTTTGCAAGTATAAATGGTTGTTCAGCACCTTTTTAAAATGCATACACAAGAACTTCTTGCATTATTCCTGTTTGTCAGTATATTGTATGAGATTAAAATAACCTTAATCCTCCTACTCACACTTCCCTGAATTATACGCTAGAGAGCTACAGTAGCAGTTTCTGGTTTACCACAGCATTTCTCTTGGGAGCTCCAACTGTTTTCCTTTTCTGCTGTGACCCCAGCTCTTCTTAGAGTCACTGCTTTCCTTGTTGCAGTTTCTTATTCTGCATATATGACTTTATTTCTAAACCCTATTTCCAATAAGGCTGTGTCTAACTGTCCTTAATTACATTACTTTCTTTAAATCGTTGCTGAGTACAACCTGTATTAACCTATTCATTCTTTTGTTCAGGCTAGTTTCACATGCATACAATTTACTGTTTTTTAATACCAGCAGAATATTACAGTCTTCAAGTCTCTAGAATACTCTCAGTATCTTAAGATCTATAAAAATTAACATCATAGAGGTAAAAACATCTTCTGAATGTCCCTTAAAGGATTCTGGCAAGCACGTGATCCTGAGTTTAACCAATTTTAAAAAGTGGGGGAAAATAGCGTACAGAAGAAGGTGGTGAGGCACTGGAACAGGTTGCCCAGAGAAGCTGTGGATGCCCCATTCCTGGAAGTGTTCAAGGCCAGGCTGGATGGGGCTTTGAGCAACCTGCTCTGGTGGGAGGTGTCCCTGCCCATGGCAGGGGGTTGGAACTCAATGGTCTTTAAGGTCCCTTCCAACTCCAACCGTTCCACAACTTCTGCAAGAAAGAAAGATCACCTTACACCAAAACAGAACACATCACCTGGAACCTGAAGTAAAAATTCTCAATTAAAGACCAAAAGAAAATATAAAGATGCCCATGCCTTGGGGCATCACATTCTAAAAGAATGCAGTCAAACTGTAAGAAAGGGTACAACGGAAGTAGGAAACAACAAAGGAAAATGTCCACAGTAAAGTTCCATTTACAAGATATGAGATTAAACGGCAGCACGAAGGAATTTCTTAAAGTAAAGTAATAAATTCACAAGTTAATGTTCTGTACTGCTAAGGAAAATAGGAAAGAGTATAAACTGTTAGTTAAATAAAAAATTAACAATGCTGCCTCCCCATCCCCCGACCTCCAAAAACACCCGTAATAAACAAACAAACAAGCAAAACCCAAAAACAAAGAACCCCAACCCTTGAGTGACAACTTGCTAAAGACTTAAAAAAGCAGTAATAAGATCTTTTCAAACACATCTGAAGCTGGTAGCCTGCCAAATTCAGAAGGAGTGACTGATGATCAGGGTGGAAAAGAAATGCCCAACATAAGGCTGCAGCAGAAAATGTAAATTAATTCTTTGCAATAGTGTTTGATATAGTGGAGTTTGGGGGCTTCCTCCACCCACCCTAGAGCTTGTTTTCAGGGGAATGGTCAGAGGGACTCTCCTAAATTAAGTTTTCAGCAGGAACGGTTTTGTACAGACTGACAAAGAGGAAAACAGCAAATCATCTGGGCATGAGAGCTTCTGCCCAACAATTTAAAAGGAACTTATGTATGAAAGTGTGGTGGTGCAAACCAGCGTGTCACCTGTTGCTTAAGTCAACTTCAGGTACAAAGAAATGAAAAGGCAGAGAATGTGCTGCCAATTTTGAGACAGGTCTCTGGGATCAGGTGAGAAATTACAGATATGAGTTTCTTTACGTTTTCAAAAAAAAATTATTAAGAATCACAACATGGGAGAGAAGCCGTATCACATAAAACTAGTTTAATTCTTTGACAAAGTCAGCAGCTGTGTGAATAAGGGAGGTCTGGTTCACATAGTACCTTGTTTTTCCAAAACTCTGTTTCTAAGATCCCTTTCCTAAGGCTTCTAAGGAAACTAAGTTGCAGAAGAGGGAAAGTTAAAATACAGAAATCAAAGAACAAGAAGAAATGGCTAGTTTTCACTATGAAGAGAGATAAAGAATGAATTGAAAAGGCTTGCTTTTGGTCTGAAAAGTCCTGAGCCACTTTTTCTCTGTGGGACAAATATTTTAAGTATCATATCTTGTCTTTAACAAACTGAACAACTGGAAGTGTAACTCCAGAGTGCCAGGAGTACTTTTACTTTTTCTCTAATGCACAACCACAAAATGTGGAACTGCTTTGTTACTTGTCATTACAATGCTATACCTTCCAGCAATTAATAATATACAGAATAAACAACACAGCCCACAGATTACCTTTCTGGAAAACCAGTATGATGTTTGGGAGCGAATATCTTGTATGCATTTTTAAATTATATTGCATATATTTAGATACTTTACATCATAATATTATTATTTGTATAACACCTTCAACAGACACTTCCCTAAAAATTGTCAAATACTATAATTGAAACACTTTTCTTAACACATGGAAAGGACCTGGCAATTCTATGCTGAAGGAGCCATTTATTTGTGCAGCTGAACTCTTTGCATAACACACATTCCTACAAGTATTGGTTAGTATTAAGCCTTGAGGTTTTACAAACTGACGTTCTGTCAACTTTTACTCAGTGACAACGTAACTGAATAGTTGCTATGCTACCCACTCACACTGTTAAAAACATAAAATCTAGGGCTTTGCCCCAACTTAGTTGTAAACCTGATGACAAATAGTGACTTTATAGACAAGTCCCACCTCAGGTCTTTATCCATATAAGGTACTTGAATGGGCTAGCTTAAAGTCAATTTATTTCAAGTATCCTCATTCTCAAGTAATTATAGCCTAATTTTACTTTTTCTTTCACTTTTACTACTAATTTTTACCTCTTTACTTCTCCTTTACCCACAAGACAGAACCTAGCTCTTATCCTCAGGAATACTCAGAAGTCAATTCCAAAGTTAAAAAAATCTATTAAAGCTTTAGCTCCCTGAGAAAAACACAGCAATTGCTCTTGACCTTTCCTTTAGTTGTATCTCAGCATTTCTGTTTCAAACCTGAAGAAGAACCTACATGGCTGAAAATAGTTCTGGTATTAGAATTTCATTTGCTAACATAGAGCAGAATGTAAGGACAGGAGAGTTGGGGATTTCTTTTGCTGGTTTTTTTTTTTTGTAAGGTTGTTTTAAAGAGTTTTACTTTACCAGATATTAGCTGGGAAAACAAGGCTGAAACATCAAAGGCAAATGAATATAATCTCAATACACTCGTGCTGAAACAGAGATGGCTCATTCCCAACTCACAAAACAAGATTTTATCTGTTACTATTTCCTGCACACATTTGAAAAACAGGAGCAAAAAAGTAGACAGTCTTCTTTTTCTCTCTCCCCAAGAAAATGTTCATTCTAACACAAAAATATTCTAAGTTGATGACATAATTTTGAGATGCCTTTTTCTCCACATAAAATGTCTCAATCCAGAACATGATGTTCTCAGAATTCTGTAAACAACTCAAACCAGAGAATACTATTGCAAACACAAGTATAAATGCATGCTTACCTAT